GCCATCCTCACCTCATCTTTATTCCGAACACCGTATCAGTAAAAAATAGGCGGAGCCACAGTGTGCCCTACTGGGCTTAAAGGAACAGTGCCCCTGCCGTTACAGTAGTGTCGATAACAATCGAAACAAGTTTTTGTGAGAACTGGAGTTTACTGGTGTGATTTCAGATGTAATGTTGAAGTAGACCTACAGAGGGAGCTAGAGGTTCCAGGGGCAGCTTTGTGGTAGAGGAGAAACAAAAGTTGCTTCTTGATTTTGTGAGAGGGAAACGAACATTCATGTGGAGAAAGGGCCTCTAATTTGTTGCTCTGCCCATCATTCCTTGGATGAATGAATGCCCACCCCCGTAAACAAGGAGGCAGGATTCCAGAACAAGCTAAAGTATTTTGTGCTTTATGGCCTGCTGACTGACTAACCAGGTATGAAGGCTCAGAAGACTAAAACGGTCACTAATGTGAGTCCTTGTTGTTCTATGGCTAATTGAACTTCCTAACCGCTTTAGAAATCGAGCACTTTTGTGTCCCAGATTAAGATTAGATAATTCTTCAGATTAGCTGAGCCAATTTTACTCCATACTTTCTTCTGTTAACCGAAATCTCCTCAGATTAGAAGCCTTGGAGATATTTAAACCTAAACCTAAACCTGCCAGATATGAAGCCTTACACCGGGGACACACCGGTCGCGAAGCGCAGCGAAAATGGGACCGCCTTCATTCGGCGCCCTTGTTAAGCTATTCTATAGACCACATGGGCCGCCGAAGCGCCGCAAATCACCTCGCGCCGGCGCTCCAGCCCGCGCCGTGCAGCGATCATTTCGGCATCGGCTCTATTTTTTTCGCGAGCCGCGGGTGAATCGCGTCAATTCTGGCAGGAAGTCAAACCTAGACATAAGAGGCAGGCCGGTAAAGTTAACAAAATAAAGCATTTCAAAATAAAATTACGCAATCAAATGTGTTCGTAATCAGACACTGCAGAAAAACCACACGAACACACACACACACATCGAACTTGTGTGCGTGTGTGAACACGTGAAGGGGTGTGTGGTTTTGGGTGTCTTCACGGAGCAAACAGGACAGAGAGGCAGAAAGTCTGAGGCAAGCAGTTAAGATGGATGACTTTAAATTAATTATGGAAGTTGAGAAACACAAGGAGATGTACGACCCCCGAAAAACATAATTATTTACGTATCCATTTCGGAAGAAACTGCTAGGATACAGCTGCAGAACTGGAGCGGGTTCCAAGAGATTCAACTGGCAGAAACATAGGTTCACACACACACACACACACACACACACACACACACACACACACACACACACACACACACACACACACACACGGTGTGTCCACGTTCAAGGAAAATATTTATTTATAATATTATTTCACACACACGTACGCGCGCGCGCACACACAAACACTCAAACGTAGAGGAAAAGAGCTGAGAAAAGGCAGAGAGGAAATGGAGGACACCGAGTGTTTAAAAGAAAAACTACAGCTGAGCCGAGGCGCGCCTCGACTGGGGCGCGTCTGATCTGAACTGAGGAGCGGCGAGCAGCGGCCGAATTTCGTGAGCGATTCGCTTCTCGGCGCTTCCGCGGCCGGTGTGTCCCCGGCGTTAGAAGTATTTAGAAAACAAAGTGCAGTTGCCTTTATTTGAACTTACTGGGACTCCTGACATTTGTGTTAAAACAATGGTCCACCACTGTTGTGCTTCCAAATATGCAGCAGAGGTAGTGTTTTGCTTTGCTTTTTGCTGATTGTGTGAAAACACACCCCTGTAGCTCTGACCTGCAAGAACATTACATTCATTCCTGCTGGAGAAAAGAGACAACCTTATGGCGACCTCATGTTCTAACATTATCATGTCATATCTAATGGCATGGCACATTAATGTTCCCTAGAGTGAGCTATAGTTTAGTAGGTGACAGCAGTGATGTCTATGGAGATCAGATAAATGCTGCTATCTGCAAGCTGCATATAAAGTCCCAGTGTGTGATATTTTTACCTGTTTACTATCAAATTCTGTGTATCCAGTTCACAAACTTGTCCTTTTTCATTAATATTATCCACCAACATCAATACTAAATATTTGTTTCAGCTTGAAGTTTTATATTTTAAATACATAAACTGTGGCCAACGCTCCATGGTCATGCTCCATCTTCAAATACAGTAGCTGTTTAGGGACAGACGAGCTCCTCATTACACGTTTGCACTATGACTATAACCTGAAAGAACCAGCGGAGGGCAGTAGTGCGCTCTGGAAGCATGGAGTCTGCTAATTCAACCACGAAGAAGAGAATAGCTACACGGTTGCTGTACTTTGTTAGTTTCAGTAACAAACAATGAAATCGAAAGACACGTCAAGTTTGTCAGGCCGTCTTGTCCAACACTCGGAAGTCGCATGTGATGAGATCCCGGCCCACTATTAGCTGGACTCCAGCCAAGGGCTGGGCAATAAATCGAAAATGTATCATTATCGAAGTTTCTGACTCCTATTGAGATACATTTTCTGTTGTCAATAAATCTGATAATAAAAAAATGAAAAGCTGCGCTCGTCCACTTACTTCATAGCCGGTGGCTAAGTCTGCATTGTTTACTTGATCTCCACAAATACTACTATTGGTGATGAACTTCTCCGCGCGGTACTGAGACAACCTGCTTCTAAGAGGGCTTCTTCTCAAATGTGGGTCTCCTTCAGCTGGTAATCTGTGGCAGTTTATGCACAACATGCACGGCGTGTCCCCAGCTCCAGCTAACCTTCCTGGTACTGGACTGGTAGGCTGATATAACAGTCATAATTAAAAATGCTTTTTTAATTAGTCATATAGTTAAATGATTTGTGTGGGCTAGGCTAGAGAGATTGGAAATTGATTCTACAATTAAGCTCATGCTAAACTGGAGGTTGTTGCCTTTTTGGGCCACCGTTGCAGCAGTACAATACAGAGTTACATTTTTTAATCATGGTTTCAATGGATTTCACACACAGGGCCTTAAATAATGAAGCGTTTGTTTAGTTTGTCATCATACAGAACACGATGCATTTCTGTGATGTATTTTTATGCAGCCCTAAAGCCTAATTTATACTTCTCCGTCTCCATCGGGACGGAGACATGCAACGCCATTATGCGTGGACGCAAGAGCCCTCTAACATTATCGCATAGGAAGATGGAGACATGCCCCAATTTTTAACTGTCCGTCGAAAGAAATGGAGAACGCAAGCTTGCGATTGGTCAGGATGCTGCTTACTGTAAATTTGTCAATGGCACCATCTTTGCCGCTTCAAACTTGAAATGGTTACCCATGCCTTTATCTCCTCCCGTCTAGATTACTGTAACACACTCTTCACATGTTTTAACAAAAAAGCCCTTGACTGCCTTCAGTTGGTCCAGAACTCTGCAGCGAGGATCCTAACTGGAGCAAACAGAAGAGCACACATCACTCCTATTCTAATGTCTCTGCACTGGTTACCCGTTGACTTTAGAGTTCATTTTAGAATCCTGACTATAACGTTCAGGGCTCTACGTGGTCAAGCTCCTCCCTATATTACTGAACTGTTAAAGCCTGAAGCTTGGTTTATGCTTGACGCATTTACTTTCCGCTTGGTGATGCGGCTCGCGGATGGAACGCGCTTCACAACTCGCAGCGTTTATGGTTCATGTGGCTCGTCTCTGCGGTGAGCCAATATTCTCCCAAACTGTAGGGGGCAGCATGGAGCTCTACGGCATGCATCCAACACTACACCATAGTAGAAGTAAAAATTACTGTTTACAACATGGCATTCCAGCATTTTTAACAGCGTCCTCGTCTTTTCCGACAGTGCGAGCTATTTCTCTCCAAGAATTATTAACAACATGTTGATCACGGTGATCTCTGAGAGCTGAATCATACAAATGTCTGTATTTACCAACCTCTGCCATACTAGTTCTTGCCGGTCCGCCATGTTTTTCCGCGTCCGACCGTCCGCGTGGTTAGAAAATTTCCTAGGTGCGCGGTGCAAAAATTTTGGGCCGTGCGGAGGCGCGGTGGAGGGGCGTGGTTGTTAAAATGACGCAATTTCGCCGCGCGAACCTCGTGGACGCGTCAAGCATAAACCAACCTTTATGCTCCAACCCGAGCCCTCAGGTCCACACACCAGAACCTTCTAGAAGTTCCAAAGACCAGATATAAAAGTCGAGGGGATCACTCCTTCCAGGCTGTTGCACCCCGACTTTGGAATTATCTTTCTTTATGCTTACGTAGTGTTGACAGTCTGGACACTTTTGTAAAACTGCTGAAAACCCTTTTATTTAAAGCTGCTTTTACCTAAATATTTTATTCTCTTATATTCAACTCAAATTTGTAATCATCTTTCATTTGTTTTATGGTGTTTTATGACTTTGTTGTTTTGGTTTTAATTTATTTCTGTTGTAAGCTCATTAATGTTTTGTTTTGATTTATGTGAAGCACTTTGTGATTTTCTGTTTGTGATGAGTGCTACATAAATATAATATACTTACTTACACTGACAGAGGCGAGGCCTGCCAAAAAATGGCGCCACCATACCCCTGACCACCACCAGCAGGCAAGGCAGGTTAAGTGTCTAGCCCAAGGACACAACAGCAGCATTCCCTGGTTGGAGCCAGGATCGAACCTGCAACCTTCCAATTACTGGACAACCCGCTCTACCTCCTGAGCTGCTGCTGTACCTGTAAACATAGAGCACTGTGATTGGCCAGGCCTTTGCTTAGCCGAGCCAGTGATAGACCTGCTGAGACTATAACGGGGCATGGCTAGACCAACCTGCTGGGCAAAATCTTTTGCAACGATTTGTCTAGATTTCTAGACCAGTAAACAACATCACTGCCAACAGAACTCAAACTTACATTTGTACCTGTAATTTCTCTGTGTGAAGAGTCCAGTTTTCCCCTGAATCGGTGGTAGTAATAAAGGATCTGGTTAACTCATTAATGAATGAGTTTATGCTTAATGTGTTGGTAAAGAGTTGTCTGATTATTTCCTCAGGGTCCAGGCATGGCATCTTGGATAGTTCAGATCACTGTGATGGTGTTATCTGCCTTCATACATGGTACCCAGAGTAGGAGAGATGCGGCGCTTTACTGTTCTGGTAAGAGATGAGCTTTTCATCTCGATTTGTCTGCGTCTAAAGGGATGATGTACAAATAAAAGTTCCTAATGCTGGCATTTTAGGGTTTTACTGATGGTCCCAAAGCAAGATCAGGACCCTGAAAGTGTTATTAGCTTTGATTGTCAAAGACTGTTTCATTGTCGTAACTGAGGTCTACCTTTTGTTTTCCAGCATGCGAGGCAATAGTGGATGAGTTAACCCACTCAATCAGTCAAGTTGACCCAAAGAAGACCATCAGTGTTGGTGGTTTTTCACTCAGCCCTGATGGAACTATGCAGGATAAAAAGGTAATCCACCATTGTTGGTGTTCTGTTTTTGTCAGCTCCAAGCTAGTCAGAATTGAAAAGTTTAATTTCCTTTCAATTCATTTGTAAAGTCCCTTCCACGACCTTATTGGACATCCAACGTTCTGGACAATAAAGCAGGCAACAGGTAGAAATAAGACGACATGAAACAGCCATAAAAGCATAAAACCTAATAAAAAAAAGCCACATTACAAACAGGACAATAACATGGTGCTACAACATCTACTGTTGGAATGCCATGACATACAAATGTGTCTTCAAACGAGACTTAAAAGCATCAGAGAACATGACTGGCACAGGTTTAGAGGCAACTCAGCCCATATAGCCTCGGAGTCGTCACCGAGGACGCGGATTGACCTCTTTCAGATTTAGTTGCTTCAGACACTGAAATTTAAATGAATGTTTTATAAGTATTTATCTTTCTGGAAAGGAGTGACAACAAATGAGAAATATTTAAATGTAATTAAATGAAAAGAGTAAAACATGTCAACACATTTAAAAATGTGTAAATATCTCCAATTAGAAATTTTTTATTTTAAAGTTTCATATTTTGAAACATTTCATATTGTACTCATTGTGAATACCCCCCCCCCCCCCCCCCCCCCCCCCCCCACACACACACACACACTCTGCTGCATCAAAGTAGTGCTTCTTAATTATTTTCTGCCATGGCCCCCAGGGCCGTTTCTAGCATTGTGGGGGCCCTATGCAAGACAATGTTCTGGGCCCCCCTATTTTGATAAACTGCAATTGATGATCTATAAACACACCATGAATTGTCACAAATTGCAAGCAAAACTTGGTACAGTATTAAAATTAAATACTCAAGAAATATAACTAATAAAAACTAGAAAGCAGTCAGAGTGCAGACCTCCACCCTGGGTGTTCACATCACACATACCATAATAAAGGGGCTAAGTGCATGTGAACAAGTATGACAACAACTGGTTAAATGTTCCTGTATCAAGACAGTGGTCAAGGTCACCATCTTTCTGATGGTCTGAGATTTAATTATTTTGAGTATAACTCTGGTTTTATCGGTCTATTAACATTTAAAGCTGGTGTGTGGTTTATAATTGGGATTTTAAATCAAAACAGTATTTTATAACTGTAATATAAAAAGCATTTTATTTTTCTTCAGAAATTTCTGAATAGAAAATGTAAATGTGCATGAACCAATAATCTGAAATAGCAGAAATCAAGCATAACATCAAGCATAACATCAATCTATCAAAGATACTTTATCAATTCCATGTATTACAACCTGTATTTATTTATTTGTACAACTTTCAGTGTCTGAGTTTCCGTAGATATTGTCTGTCATTGCTCAGGTGTTCTTAGCTGTTGTATTCTGCAGAGCAGTTCTTGTCCTGCGGCAGACTTTACTTTTTCTTGTACTCTTTGCACATCCAGGGAGTGTTTTTTTTTTTTAAATTTATTTTGCACAGAGTGTACCTGTTTCACCCCTGACTTGCCCTCTGTGCTTTGTCCATTCCTTGTCCGCTGGTCCAGGGGACAGGGATGTGACCTTGAGCAGAGGCCACTGGAGGGTTTTCATCCTGTGCACACGGCTGCTCCTGAAATTGTTGATGTTTCAGGGCCTCCTTCTGCTACTTGTTGCTGATTTGTTTGTGGAGCTGGTGGTGAGAGGTAGCTGATAGCCAGGGGTTCTTCTGGTGGGTCGGCGGTACCTGGGTCTGACTTGAAATACATTTGAACTGTAGATAAACTTACTGCAGCTGTGATGGCAAATCACCTTCATCCACACCTGAATCCTCAACCACAGATGTACATGGACCTTTTGTTTTCCTGGAAGTAGTAGTATATTATAGTATAGTAGTAGTATTAGCAGAAATACTAGACAATAGAAACTGGAACGGGTTTAGTGCAGAGATACTTACTGCATCTGGGATGGAAAAACAATGGGCACATCTTGCTCCTCACCAACAACTTTTGAGGGAAGTTTCCTCTTTCTAGGTTTCCTGGTTTCTGGTTTATTTACAAAAACAAATCTAACATATAAAATAATAAAAAGCCTCGGTGAAAAACGCAGCTGAAAAAAGACTAAACTACGGGTGACAGAATGAGTACAAAAAACGGCTAAGCGATGTCAAATATGACTAAATATTAGGGTTGTGTCATGACTCCCAGTCTTTCACTCTCCTCTGCCTCTGCTGCCTCCTCATCAAGCCCTCAGCCACTTTATTCATCTCACCTGTCCCTGTCATCAGCTCATTACACACACCTGCTCCCCCTGCTATATATTCACCAGCCAGCCACCAGTCCCCTGCCAGATTATTGAAAACTTTTTATTAGTAGATCTTCCAGCCTTGCACCTTGCCTTCACAGCTTCTGGTCCTTGTTTTTTTGCCTGACCCCTGCCTTGAACTCTGCCTGCCGCCATGGCCCTCGCCTGTCTACTACCACGTCTCCAGCCTGCTCCCTGTACCTGCTTGTCCCGATCTGGTTCTGACCCACGCCTCTTCTCCGACTCTGTCTCCTGCTTCTCCTCCCTGCTTTGGCCGATGGTTTCTCCCTCTGGTTTGTCTCTATGAGCAAACTCATAACTTTATGGTTTTGGTCCATCAGAAGAAGAATTATAAACATTTAAAGTTTCCTCTGTGTCAGAGCCGCATTAGAATCCATATTTCTTCTCTGGATTAAGCTAACAGGACTCCCTCAGCCGACGTCACTTGGTTTAGCAAAAAAAACCTTTCTCACAAAAATGACTCTAAAATATCAACGAGTTTCTATAATTTCTCTAAACATTGGTTCATGGGAGTCTTTAACCTGCAATTTGCTCTTTAAGGCCGGATCACACTGCGTTTTTGGCCATCGCACAGGATTGTTCATGTCACACTGTGAGAACTCCAGAGAGGTGTTGCACCGTATGCCGCAAGATTTTCGTGAAGCAGACTGCACGACGTCTCTCTCCGGCAGGACACGCTGCGTCATTAGCACACCTCCCAAAGCATACGTTGCTAAGCAGATCGCTAACCGCAGCTAAGCTGAAAAAATATAAATACTTAGTTTTGGTTCATGACCCAACTCCTGTTCCTCAAAGAGGAAGCTTCGTTTTTAAAATCCTCGCTTTGGCATCAGACTCCGGCTGCGGGTCTCCTTTTCCCGTCTTCCAGCTAAACAGCAGAGCTGTCAGCTGGTCATTCGTCCTTCTCCTTTTTTATACACAAGAACCCGCTAAACTACAGATAAGTAACAATCTGTCACAGATCGCTGCGATATAACTTTTGCCGGGAATTCTGTCTCACTGCTCCGCTATGACAGATCACACCCGCTGTCTCGGAGCTTCCCCTGCAACAAAACGCCACAGAATCATCCTTATCGGTTGAATATGTGAAATTTCCACCAACAGCAAAGGGATCTCATGTTTTTGAGTTTTAATTTTTTATGTTCGTGAGCTCATCTCCTCGCAGCTCTCACAGATCATAGAATCATGGTTTTCACAATTGAGCTGATGGTCAAAATAAGGTAGTTAAATTATTTTAGTATAACTTCGGTTTAACTTGGGCTATTAACAAAAATAAATCTGGTGTGTAGTTTATAATCCACATTTTAAAATCAAAATGAAACCGAAGCTCAGAGAGGCGGAGTGTTGCTGCTGCGGCACCCCAAAGGTGTGTTTTCATTGGTCAATTGCAGACAGGAGTCGTGGGTTTTCAAGCCGTGCTTGGAGACTTTTTGAGGCTGATTTGGTCGTAAGACGGCTCAGAAAGCTGTCGCAGAGCCGGTCACACTGTCCGTTCACAGCATGGTGGTCATGTATGCAAATCACCCTGACGCTGACCGTTTTTTTGTCACGATTCTGCTCAGGACGAGGGATTTGACAAAGACGGCCAAAAATCGCACAGTGTGATCCGGGCATTAGTCATTGTGCATATCCTGTGTCAATCCCATCTGCTTCACTCCTGCCAGCCTGTGTTTACCGCATGTGTTGCCATGAGCTAACCAGGAGAATGCCGATATGAAAAGGGGAATATCGCCACCTACTGTACCGGAGTGGAACAAACGTTATTTGAGAGGCCGATTTTCTAATGCGCATGTAAACTTGGATAAAGACTCCCAGCTTATTACAATAGGATCGACCTGGATCAGCTTAGGTGTCGGTCATGTAACTGCAGAGTGGAAAGGTGGCACTGGTAGAAAGGAGAGGATAGTGATGAAGAATCAAAGGTCACGCCAAAGCCAGCCTGAACAGGTGCGTTTCCAGCTGCTTTTTAAATGGAGACCATTGAGCCCACTGATCTCAATAAACATTACCAAGGTTAGTCCAATATCTTAATTTGTAACATTTAATCAAGACCACTCGTTAAGTGTGTGTGATTCTCAAAAATGAAAACATGCAAACGGTTCACTTCTCAAATGTAGAGGGGAGAAAATATAGATATAACACTTTTATGGTTTTTTAAAATCAACGTGTCATATACATTTTGTGCCTACATTCAATATAAATGAATTACACAACATTTCCATCAAATGCTCTCATCCACCAGAAAACGGACTCCTTCCTGTTTTTATCTAACATGATGGGAACAGTTTTTAACCTTGAGGTTTTCCAGAAACATCCTTCCTGTTTTGTCTTTAATCGCAAGAATCTTTGTAAACGTAAATCACTACAGATGAAGTTTTGTTGCTATTTCTGAAAATATCAGATCATTTCAGTCACTGAGTCATGATTGATAGCTTCCTGAGGGACCGACTCCTCCTCTGTCCTTGGTGGACACCAGCCTCCACCTGTTTTATTGTTTGTTTAATCAAATGTTAGAGAGCCACAGAAGGAGCCATCCCTTGATCCTATGCCCTCTGAGCTCCCTCCTTTCAGCAGCGTTTGACCTGGTGTGAATCCGATAGGGAGAGATGTCACAGCTTAGATGCCATCAGTGAGGAGGATTTTAGGTTTTAAGTCTCTGCTCTTTGGCCTTTTCGCGGTAGGACTTCCTGGGGGCATGGGGTTGTTCTGTGGC